ACAGAAGAGGCTAATTGTGATTGTTTGTTACTATCGATTGGACCAGCAGACAGGTTAACTGGCCATATTTTGAATAGGCGGGTGTACATAAGACATACAGCAAACCAAATGCTTCTTGATTTCAGCAGCACAAGCAGTACAAAACCAAGGCACTTCAGAGCCCTTAAAAAACCAAAGCCATCCCAAATAGAATCATTGAATGGTTAGGGTTGGAATGGACCTTAAAGATCATCTAGTTCCAACCCCCCTGCCGTGGGCAGGGACACCCTCCACTAGACCACTATCACTAAATGGGTGGTGGCAAACTTTTGGTACCCAAGATAAGATGAAATAAAGGCCCTCAAAACCATCAAGAAAACAAAAACCCCCAAACAATAGAAAGAAATCACCAGTTGTTCTTCACTGAGAGCTCTCCAATAAGCCACAATCCCAACCAGAAGTCTTCATTACTGTTTCTGTCAACAGTTGGCACTACAAGATGACGAAACATCATCTCTGAGAACGCCAATGTATATTGGAGGCTCCACCTTCAGGTGTCCAAAAAACAAACAAAACCAAAACAACTCCACGTGTGCAAGGCCATATTTGCTGGAATTTTCTTGGGAACACCATGACAGCCTCTCTGTCGAGGCAAAGCATTTCCATGCAGTAACCCAATAGGTAAATCCTAAGTGTAATTAACCGTTGGCTTCCCACCAAGGTACTTTGTCCCAGCAATGGGTACTTTTCCACTCTGGAGTTGTGCAAAGCCAATGATTCAGCACCGCCGAAAAACACTCCTCCTGGCATAGTGCCTGCGCCCAGCAAGGAGATGGACATTGTCTGCTGTGGAGGAAGGAGCTCGACGGCATGATCACCGCATGCTTCGCGGCACACGGACAGCTGTTCCAGCACAGTCTCTCTCAGTGCTGTTAAGACACGCCAAAAACCAGCTGTACGGGTGGTTTGCCAAAACCATTTATTTCAATGCTGTTTGTAGCCTCCAGCTCTGAAATCAAGAGCTGTTCTTGCCTCCGACAAGCTTGGATGGTTTCCACAGGTTTAGCCTGGTTGTTTTTACACCAACCAGTAGCTTTTTGGTCCCAGTAATAGGAGGTGTGTTTCCATGCTTCATGAAGGTTTCCAAGGAGACAGATAAGGCTCTTGCTCAGATAAGCCCTTGCTATTATTAATCCTTTAGGTGATTTACCTACAATTTGAAATCAAAGACCATCACGATGAGCCTAATTATTTCTACAAGGAATGTATATTTAGGACTAACAACCTAAAAGCAACTAGGAGTCAACATTATGGTTAGCACCTTCTTCAGCTTGCACAAGCAAAGACAACCTGCCTCAACCTGAAGAACCATGTAAGGAAGGACATTTGGGAGAAGACTTTAAAGGTGTAAATGGCAGTCAAATTTGGTGTCCTGCTGGATGAAGTTCCTAATTTCCAACTCAGATTTAGTTCCAGGTTTTACCTTCTGCTCTTGTTTTGGCTTATTCTCAGCATAAGTGGCATATTTACCATCACAGGGAAAAGACAGTCAAGTCTATTGCCATTGAAGACAAAATGCAACTAGATTTCTGTAAGAAGAATAAAAAAAGATGGAAGACCAAAGACAATGGACACCTGCTCATAAAACCATCTGAAAAGTTTAACATATTAACATGCAAACTTTACAGAGAACACCATCTCATGTTTTGGGTTGTGAGGCGATTCTTGTACCCATCAGGACAAGACCCTTTCAAACCAACAGACCTTGAGTGAGGGCTGGAGCCCTCAGTTCCCAGCACATTGTTGCCACGAGCCCTGACGCTCTCCTGATGGGAGTCCAGAAGGGCAAACAGATCTGGAGGCCGAATAATTCATTTTAAAAGTGTCTTTGAAAAGAAACTGATTGATTAACTAAACGCCTGCTAAGAGGAAGGGTTTTCAAATAGCACCCTGACGGGAACGGACTTTTAGCATAGCAAAAAGTGGGCATTATTGGATGACATTTAGGCAAGGGAAGGTAGAAGGATTCATGTAGAAGAGCCTTTCTAGCAGTGAATTAAAGCTTGTAGGGAAACAGGATGATATCAAAGGGACATTGCTTGGAGGACTGCTAGCACTACAGACAAATGGTCAGCCAGTATGGAACCAGTAGCTCTCCTGTACTCCAAAAAGCCACACTTCACCTAGGCACAGATGCCAGGATGGTTTCTGATTCTCTTGCTACTTAAAATGCAAGGACTTTTTCCCTCCTCCAGTGTTTCAAGACAAATTATATGAGCCACATGGCCTCTGTTCCTCACTTTTTTCCTCCACAGAACAAGGACAGCAGTTGAGTCGCACTCACACAGATGCTATGAATGCTGCTCTTACAGATCCTAAAGGAACAAGAGAAGAGAGACAGGATGTGTGGATGCACAGAGGAAAGCAGGCTTGAGGAGCACGCTGTATGCACTGATGCATCAGTATCCCTCAGTACTGTAGCCCTCAAGAAGTTCACACATCTACAGCTTTCCTGGGAAATTCTCCATCTTTTGCCTCATATACTATGTCCCCAACAAATCCTTTATTTCAGGACAGCAGTCATCCTCAGCCATCCCATGGATCCCCTTTGCTGGCTTTTGTCAGAAGAGCACTCAGTTGTATTTGTGTCTTTCTACTATAAAGGGCATTGGACATACAAATGCAACATTATGGACCAAGTCCTGCCAGATGGGCAAAGCAACCAGCTATCAGGCTCTATCAGAGAACGTGTTTGTCTACACTGCACATGACATTTGTCTTGTTTCAGGAAATTTGAAGGCAAATATTGCATCACTTTTTATCATTTCCAGTCCCACAAGATCTAGTTTCACCTCAAGTGCCAAACTCTCGCACTCTGCAGACTTTTGATCTTGACATTGCCCAAGGGAGGATGTTTGTGTCCTACAGCCCAGACTCCGGACTCTTCTCTGGGCTATTTCCTCCTGCCCAGCTCCACTTGGCCATTTCTCCAAACCAAATCCACATACAGTTGGTCTCAACAACTCAAAAGCATAGCAAGTAGCCCTGTGAAACAAGACTATTAGCAGAAATGCCTCCTGGCAAGGCTTTAAAATCATTAGTTTCCAAGCAGGTATGACTTAGTATAGCCTGAGGACTTGCACCGTAGGTGGAGCTCTTCAAACTTAAGGTGACATTTGATTTAGTGAAAAGCTGGGCATAGACGTACGTACAGAATGAAGTTTTGGCCATCTGTCTCTGGTCATCATCTTTCTTATCCCATCACAACTTCATCATTCAAGGGCGCAGTCAGAGAACACACGCTACACATACAGCAAAGGCAAAGCCAGCTCATCACGGGACACACAGACTATTGCTTGGAGGTTAGAACAAGGCTTGCTCGTCTCTGATCTTGCATCTTGTGGGCTTCAGAGCAAACCATCTGCTGCTAACAGACAACCAGCTCTGTG